CTAATGATGGTATTGAAATCCTTCATAGGTTCGGAGCAGCTAATTGTCATTTTAAGGCACTGTGTGAAAGCCATAGATGGCTCTACGGCAGGTGGTAAAACCAGATCATAAACACAAGCAAGAACCAGAGAAACATCACTGGGATGTTAGATCAGGGAACTGGAACTTAAGACTGAACAGGAGAGAATTCATTAAAATGGACAACTTACCTGTAACATGGAATTCAATGTCTAGCAAGTCTTCATAATGTCCCAATAAAATTTAACGTCTACCAGTCCTAATAGTTACCTGGGATGCCTCCTTAAAGCCTGGATTCACACTGGCTCAGTAAGTTGAGGTGGATTTGTTGGAATTTATTTGGCAGAGTAATGACAAAGGGGTCAGAAGGCTCAGGAAAAAGAGAATATTAGAAGACATGCAAACTTAACCACCTGAGCATATTCTCCAGGAGCCAGGGGAGAATCCCTTCACTAGTTGTAATTCCTTACCCTTTCTTCAAGTTTTATAAGTAATAACCTTTTTAAATAAAATGTTGCAACACTTGCAAAAAAAAATGTGTATATATATATATATATATATAGGTACACTAATGATGGGAGTACTGACATCACTGAGAAACTCACTGTTGGCTGTTCTCTTCAGACCAGGGTTGACAGTGGAAGATCCTGGTATAGCACTGGGCTTCTTAATATCAATGTGGATATTGGGATTCTAGAAAAGCAGAGGCCAGGTGGATATAATTACCATACTGAGCAGCATGGATAGGATAGCAACCAAGGTGCCTTGGGCCAAAATGCCAAGTGATCTTTTATTACAGCTAAGTGGTGCTGGTTTTCCCAGAGGTAGCAGTGGCAAACAGCCATCTAGAGCAGTGGCTGTCAAAGTGTGGTCCTGAGGTCAGCAACTGTCTGAAATGAAAATTCTCAAGCCCCATTCCAGACATACTGATGCAGAAATTCTGGGGATGTGGCCCAGTAATCTGTTTTAACCAGCCCTCTAGGTGACTGGATACATGCTAAAATTTGAGAACCATGAAACTAGGGTTTTGCTTAATTTGTACAACCAAAAATAATTGAAAACTGATGAGTGTAATGTTGATGTTACATACTATGATACAAAATTGCAATTTCCAGTTACTATATCTAAGTCACTTCACAGATCCAGATTGACTGACAGGAAACCTGTGTCCCCACAATGACACTAAAAGTATGGCAAATGTTTCTCTCTTCCTTGAATTTGCCAGAGTAATTGGGCATTGGAGAAAAGGCTTCCTGAGGATGGTTAGAATGAGGTCACAGCTGACACTGATATCAAGGAGCTCAAAACACCACCATGGTCCTCCAGTTACAATGGAGCCTTATAGATACCAGGCTGTAAATGGTGTTTGGGCTCAAGTCCATCTCACAATGGATTTAGTATCTCCCAGGACTCACCCTGTTGCTATATCTCTAGTCTCTGGATTCCCAATGAGATAGACACACTTAGAAGTTGGCCTTTGGTTTCCCAACCTATGAATTAAAGAACATTATGATAAAAAGGTGCAATGTATTTTCCCTCCAGGCCAAGATAGTAAATCAGAAGCAATATCACCTCCCAGCAGGCATTGCAGAAATTTGGACCAACAAAGACAAAAAATTCAGGGATGGTGATTCCAATAATATTTTACCTATTGCAATAGTCATTTTACCTATCTGGCCTCTGCAACAAATCATATGGATCATGGTGGGTTCCAGTGGAATATCATAAACTGAAAGTAGTATTTCCAAATACAGTTTCTGTGCTTAGATATTAATTTTATTAGAGTAAATTAACTCAGCATCTGACACATCATTTGAGGCTGTTTTGCTCAATGCTTTATTCTTGATTCTCATCAATAGAGAGGATCAAAAGCAGCTCCCCTTTGTATTGCAAGGACGGCAGTAAATCTCACTGTCTTCCCCTAGGTCTGTGTTAATTTTCCTGCTGTCTATCACGGTCTATTCTGTAATGATCTCAATCATCTTGATATTCCACAGTGCAGCATGCTAGCCTTCTATACTGATTAACATTTTATTAATTGGACCTAACAAGGCGAATGGATCAAGTAACTTGAATGTCCGCACAAAACATGTATGTGTCAGAGGGTAGGTGGTTAAGTTCTTGATAATTAAGGGGCCTGTAACATCAGTAATAGTTTTAAGGGTCCAGTGGTCTGGAACACGAAGGGACACACCATCTGAAGTAAAGCCTGCGAGCCTGGCTATGTATGGTACACCAAGTAACTGTGCAATTGGAGCTGCCCATTATGAGACTGGTGTTAGCACAAACTCCCAGAAAAAGATTGGGAGGCTTAGAAACAAACTATTGTATTAAGGAAATAATATATTTAAGAAAAGAGTCAAGTAGTCCAGAAGATGCCATAGATGTGACTTGTTGGCCTAGACCTCCATATCACCTGACCCTTTTGTACTGGTGACACTACCTCAGCTCACATCTATAGCCTCATGGGCCTATAACCAACTGATGGAGAAGGAAAAATCTTGACTCCAATTCAAAGTCAGTTTGGTATGCTATACTGGGGTTCTATAGAAATGAATCACTGTCACAGTACAGTCCTTCTTGGGGGTGACCCTGATAATACAGGCATAGCCACAGAAGGTTCTCAACAACCAGGTAAATAGGATGACCTATTTTCTGGGTGTCAGCCAACTTCTCTCTTTGGGCAACCACTGCTTGCATGATGTGCTAATGAACAAAGTGAAATGAGAGAATTAAGGAAACAAAGATAAACTCAGTCATCATCATACAAACTACTTGGCAAAAGATTTTGTGCCTCTTCCTCCTTCCATGCATGCAACAGGCATCAGACAAATGTTTGCTCCACATTTTCCCAAAGTTCCCTTATTCATCAATTTACCAAATGTTTCTTGAATGCAAACAGGTACCAGGCCTTGAGTCAGGGGAAGGGCACAAGGCACTGCCCTCAGAGGGGTCAAACTCTAGTGGAGGAGGCAGCCATGTGAACAGATTGACACAACGGAGTGGAATTGGAGGCTCCCAGGTGGAATTGGGTAATTCTGTCTTTTCTTTTCTTTTCTTTTTAATTGGGGAATTGGGAGAGGGAAACAGCCAAGTTGTTGCCCTTCAATCTTAGTTGTAGAGGGCACAGCTAGCTCAGCTCCAAGTCCAGTCGCCATCCAGCCACCCGTTGGCAGCTCACAGCCGCTCAGCTCAAGATGCCGTGTTCAGTCTTAGTTGCGGGTGGGCGTAGCCCACCATCCCATGAGGGAATCAAACCAGCAACCTTGTTGTTAGGAGCACATGCTCTCACCAGCTGAGCCATCCTGCCACCTGTTGGCAGCTTAGCTTGGGCGCAGCTCACTGGCCCATGTGGGAATTGAACGGGCGACCCTGTTGCTCAGAGCTCATACACACTCTTAACCAACTGAGCCGCTCGGCCGCCCCCAGAATTAGGTAATTCTTGATGGGTTCAATACAACCAGGGAAAAGGAGATGACAATCAGAGAAGGCTATCTAGACTAGAGGAAAGGAACTTCAGGATATGTCTTGGAAAAGGTAGTGGGAAAAGATGGAAAGAGCATTCTAAGCAGGTCAGAAATGGACAAGGGCACCAAATCAAAGAGACCTTGTATGCAAGGCTCTGAAACCTTATTCCATAAGTGATGCGGATGCACTAAAGGCTCTTAAGTGGGAAAGGTGGCTTCACTAGATTTATGTTAAGAAGCTTTACTCTGTCCTCTGTGGATATCGCCACTGCAGCAGGCAACCCTCTCAGTCACCTGTCACTGCTCAGCCTTGGAATATGCCATCCAGCCTCTAAAAGGAATCAAATGAGAAAACTTTGAAACTCCACAGGGCTTGCTCTACTCAGACTTTGCAGAGACTGGGAACTTCCTGGACTGTCTAGTTCTAAAAGTTAAAAAAAAAAAAAAAAAGCCCTGTTAATATCTTGCTTGATCTCACTTGCTATGTGATTTCCTTAGGACTGAGTGAGTTCCTGATCCCTTCTCCCAACAAGTGAAAGAAACCCTGATTGAGGAGTCTAATGTGAGCACTGAAAGTCTGTAGTAGAATTTAAGATTTATTGCCTCCTTTTCCTTATTAGGCAATCCCCAAATAGTAATTATGAAGTTGCTTTCTCTTCTCAAGTCTTATCAGTGGAATACTGCATGTATGGACAACAGAAACACGTGGGCATCTGGGGTGTTGGTCTGATAACCCATCACTTGGCACCAACCATTGATGTTACTACTAGATCACTTTGAGACAGGGTTGACATCCAAATGTAAACTCCTGGATTTCTTTAAGAATACAGATTATATCAAAGTACAAAAGGCAGCTAAGGTCTATCTCTTTGGAAATGAATGTCAACAACTGTATATCATGTCAATGTCTTTTAAGACAAGTATACTTTAAAAACAAGCCAAGGTCTAAGCATAAAACTTTGTGGGTTCAGAGCTCCCAAGAAGACAACAAAGTCTCAGGTTCACTAAGGGGATGAAAATGGGTAACTCTCCCTTTCACCATTACATTCCTACCCCAACCAGCTACCCAGGGCTTGTCCGAAGACAGAGACGCTCACCATGGGGGGAAGTTCAGAGGTGGGACCAAGGGCAACCAGGGTCTGATTGTTTTCCTCCCCACACAAAACTTCAGGTGGTCTGATGTGCCAAATATGCCATCTTGCCTGCCTTTCCCTGTTCTCCCTATCCCCACAGGGCAGGATTTGGGAAGGAATATTTTTGAACTAGCAATATCAATACCGAATGCAAAGAAACTCATTATATTTCATTTCTTTTCAAGTCACCTTACAAATATTGTCTTTAAAGCATAACGAAAACATTCAGAGACATAAATGGTTGCTTGAAACTGTCTGTCCCCCATAGAACTTATCTCTTCTGCTGTGAAGAGATGAAAAGGAAAAATATTTCCAAGTGCTCTGGGTTTCTTACTGAACAGTCATCATACGAACTTCAATTGAAAAAAAAAAATTCACCAAGTGTTTAAAAATCTGTTTTAATTATATTTTCATGAATTCCAAGAACATCATTGCAGTTAATATTACAAAAAAGCAGAGGGACATCAGAACATGCAATTAAAAAATGGATTCATGGTGAAAATAATGTATGTTGGTACTAAAATATAGTTACTTGGCTCCCTGAAGGAAAAAGGTTTCTTCTAATTGTCTATTCACTTGGATTTTATTATAAGAAAGGTTTGTTTGTTTTTCTTGAAAACTTTAGGGGAAGTTTTCAATTTCTGCTACTATTATTGTTAGTGTCTGATGGGAGTCCCTCATTCTGAAAGCCATTATTTGCAGTCTATAAATTAATCAGAAAATGCAAAAGTACAACAAATAGCTTGGCAACTGTTTTCTTGTTACATAGAAAGCCATTAGCAAAAATATGTAACAAAATTTATGTAAAACAAACAAGTTTGTCCTTATATACAGAAGTTTGCTTTATTCCTCCTAATCTCACAGCTTACTCTAAAATTGAGGGTCTGGGGGAAGCAGCTACCAATCTCTTTTGAACTCTCATTCTGGACAGTGTAAAGAAATCTTAAAAGGTAAAGTTAACTATTTAAGTCTTCTTTTAACTGAGTTATAAAATGCATTGGGGCTTCTCAATAAAGACTGAAAACTAGGAAAGATGATAATGGCTTTAAGATAAAGAATTCATCCCTCTGTCCTTTGCAAAGTCATCCTAATTAACTCAAGAGTTAGAGAGTAAAAATGCCTATGTTTGTGACTGTGATCTGAGGACACAGAGTAAAGAGCATGTCATGTCGGTGAAGCATACGGACATTATACCCCAGGCTGCTGAGAAGTTTCTTATTAGGTCATGCACACATTTCATACCAGAAGAGTTTACAGGGAAGAAAGATCCTAGGTACATGGGAAATGTCACCCAAATCTATACATAAATGCATAAACAGGAAGAACAGATGGAGTCAAAGGGAGGCCAAAATACAAGTTTAAAAATACATTTTCAAATCATTGCAAGGCCAAGGACCATTTTTACTGAAAGCTGTGACAATTCTACAGAATACCTTGTAAACATGGAAAACGCAGTGTTATGTAATTCACAGTCTCAGAAGAAAATAAATTTCTGGTTTATCATCGCTGCTTGGCTCTGTCTGCAAAGCAGAATTATCCGAACAGAACTGGTCTGCGTGGCCAGCGCGCAGGGCTGTGCACGCGCCCTCGGGAATGCCTCGGCCCTCCACGCCACCCCCGCCTTTGGCGCTCCTCAGGTAACCTGCTATGTAGGAGCCGGTGGAGTGCCGGTTCCCCACAGGCGTGGGCCCTGAGGGTTTGCTCCGAAGAATCACTCCTCCCACATTGCTGGGGTTCACACCTTTCTGCTTGTTGGCTTCCTGCTTTTCCTTGGCACGACTGGCAATATTGCGCACTCTGCTCTGACTTCTGGATGACAACTTCCGGACCAGTGCCCTGGGGAACTGATGGGCATCCTGCTTGGAATACAGCACTTGGCAGCCATCTTCCTGATCAAAGGACACGAGCTTCCGCAGCTGCTCCGTCAGAGCATCGATCGGCTCCAAGGACTTTGTCTTCATAGTCATACCCTTCCTCTCTCTGATTCCAGTGGTAACAAAACTCTTAGTAATACACTGGTACTTGCTTTCAAAATTGCAGGCGATGTCCTCTGATGTTAAGTCTCCCAGGCTTTTGGATTTGCAAGGGCTGGGCAGCTTCAGAGCAGGCAGGGGAGGGCGTGGAGACTGGCTGGGTGCAGGGGCATGCAAGTCCTGAGCACTAGATGGGGGCACGCAGGTCTGGTTCATTTTTACATCTGAATTGGAGAAGTGCTTATGCATAAAACCAGCACCCTGATAGTTTAGACCAGAAATACCTTGATTGTTGTCATCTTGAAGATTGTTGAATATTTCAGCTACAGAAGGGTGGAGAGTCTCTTTACAGTAGCCATTTCTTAAGCCTCTTTGAAAATGTTCCACTATATCCTGGCTGTACTTCAGTTTTAAAGGAGAAGCGAGGTGATTTGTGTCGTCTCTCCTATAGTCACAAGTTGGTATAGACAGATTTTCTGAGTCTCCATCCATTTCCACGAGACTGCTCTCCCCAGAATTTAAACAGAGAGCGGGATCAGCTATTACATCTCCCAGTGTCAAGTCAGCGGAAGAGGTGGGGCTGCGATTCCTCAGTATTTCCCAAGCTTTGCCATTGGTGGGACTTTTTGGCAACCAGCAATGAGAAGTATTAGAGGAAAGAGGCAGGCTACTTTCCACGGCCCCTGTCTTGGCCTTACCAGAAAGGTCATCATCTGGTTTAATTTTAGAGACAGTAGGAGTGCAGGCAGTTTCACAAGCAACTGTGTGCATTGAGTGTTTGGAGGTCTCAGGACTCGAGAATGCAATCGGCTCAGGAGATGAGCACAGTAAGGATGACTTGGGTTTTCCCCTGGAAGAGCCATGCTTGGAGGGCATTTTAAGGTTCATGGTGGGTAAGGGAGGATGGCCTGACATCACACTAGTGCTATGAAGATGAGAAACAACTGTGAGGTTAGTCTGATCGCTGGTATCACCAAACTGGCCAATCAGTGCTGAGATGGAACTGCCCGGATCATTCTCGTTCATTAAAGTGACATTGTCAATAAGATGAGAAATATCACTGTCCTGCAGATTCACTGTAGAATGTAAGTCAGGTATGTCAGAACAGAGCGTAGAGACGTCTGACAAAGAAAAGGATGTTGCGGGTCTGCCCTTACCCCAATTACCTTCCAAGCTCTTAATCTCCAGGTTGCTTTGAGAAAAGATGCTTCCAGACAATGTGCTTTTTTCTTCCGCAAAGCCCCCAGCATTCCCATTTTCCTTGGTTTTCACACCACAGAGATCTTGTGTTGGGTTAACTGCAGGTTTAAGAGCCAAATGCTTTGGGGAGAGGGATTTGTTGGGGCAGCGATGTTCCTGGCAGTCACCTGTCACATTTGATTTGGTTCTCCCACCCTTAGGACCCAGCACTCCCAACTGTCCTGTGATTGACAGGTTAGCAGTAGAAATAGCAGAATCCCCTTGGCTGATGTCTTTGTTGAGGAGAGCGCTGGAGGAAGAGGATAACTTTTTGTTGAAATTTGGAAAATGTTGCTCTTTTATAGTTGTCTTCCCATTTCTGCTGCCATCCTGAACGTCTGCTGAATGAAATAAACAACAGTTTAGGTGGCATGTACCGCTTTATGTGAGAGCTGCAAACACTCATGTTTGTCTTCAGACAGACAAATGGAGAATGTAAATTTGTTACCTTGTGACAAAATATAATTATGGATTGCATAGATTTGCAACAAAGTATCTGTGTGATGAATAAATGGTAAAATATATTTATGGGAATTTCACTGAAGCTTCCCTTTGAAAATCTATTACATCAGTTGAGGATGTAATATTCATTACCAAAAAAAATGTCAATGAGTTACCATACTTTTACAGTGAGGATTACCTTAAGTTGTTTCCTATTCAGATTTGTACTACACAGAAGCATGGCAATAGAAACAGAACAAGACAGCTCTGTTAAACAAAGTATTGTGGCACCTGTAAGCAAGATACTATAAGCTTTCAAAGTTAGGCATGTATTAGTAAAAAGCACAAGTCATACCATTTAAAAAAAAAAACATTTTAGCAAAAGATCTAATTCAATTAATCTCTAAAACAAATTGGAAGGTGCAATAAATGTATTAAAATATCAATATCTGTTGAATTTAAAATGTAAAAATCAAGAATTGGTCATGAATTCCATGCCACTGCTAATATCTAATTTTCTGTTAACCGTATTTTTGTTTTTAATACATACATTTCATATCACATTCTTCCCTAACAAGGGGCAGTGAAATATCAAGCACAGTAAAGAAAACTATAAAAACACACAATTCACAGTAACTTGGGTGGACCCCATCATGTTTAGTATAGTGCTAAGACAATGTTAGGTGTTCAGGTATTCTTGATCAGATTATTTTAGTAATGTTTAAATGCTTTTAGTCATGAGATACAAGAAGAATTTGTTTAACTTATTATTTTCCTAACTAAAAAATTCATCTTAAAAGTTTGATAAACCCAAAAATTATCAGGAAAAAAATATAAATATCCTATGATGTTACCAGAGAAAGCCACTGCAAGCTTTTGTAGAGGAAAAGAACTATGTATAAAATTTTGTATTCATATTTTCTCCATTTAATATTGTTTTCTACATCATAACTTGCATCATTCCATGCCTATGTATTGCTCCATAGGTTTCTTTCTCCCTTTCTTTCTCTTTCTTTCTTTCTTTCATCTATTTATCTGAATGATTAACTTATATAATTGTTTTTTAAAGGGAGGAAAGAAACATCACCTCAATATTGCTTTCTAACTCACCTTGTTGAATTAACATCTTAATTTTGGCATTAATAGATCAGTTATCAATTTATATTTACTACAGCTTTATTTCCTCCAAAATGGAGTTTTGAAATAAATTTTAAAGCACACATTTCATCTCTCCTGACACTGCTCTTAGCAAAATTTCAAACTTTTAAAACTCCCTTTTTCTCCTTCAAATAGGTCATTCAGAAAAAATCAATAGAAATAAAATGGTTTTTGTGAGCAAGTAGATCATTGAAATTAGATTGTATGATAGAAAGGGAATTTTGCTAAAAGAAACAGGTATCACATTCTACTTGTCTCAGGTGATTTTGACTTAATTAAAATGTATTTGTTGCAGAGACATCAACTAGACAGAGTTGTGGTGTTTAAATTACTGAAAATAAGGCAGAAGAAGGAGTCACCGACAGAAGTCAAGAGTTCTTTGGTACACCGCAAAGCAGGCATCTCTCTTTATCAAGTTCTTGATATGAGTGAAGCATTATGCTTGAAAAGATGGGTAACACCTGGTCCCTAGGCCTGAGGAGCCTGTAACTGTAACATGCCAACATCCCAGGATCAGGGAAATGAGGCCACAGGAAAACATCGCCTGAGCTACCTCTTGCGGAAGCAAAGATTTCTCAAGTGAAGACAGTGGCTTGCATGTAACATCTGGCCTTTCGTCCTTCTCCATAAACATTTCCCATCATGGAAATGTATTATATGGCAGGGAGAGAAACACAACTACATTCAACTTCAAAAAAAATCAACATAACTCTGTTGGAGCTCAGAACAGTCAGTAAATATGGTGCCCACATAGAAAAACCATGATCTCTGCTCATAGTTTGCAGGTTTCACCTCCCTCTCTCGTAACTAGGCTCCATGTCGTCATACCTGGTGCTTTCTCTTATCCCTCACTGTCAACGTCAGATGTAATTTTAAGACCTTAGGGACTAGGAAACAGCTCTTCTACCCCCCCCCCCCCCCCACACACACACACATACCCAAAGTTTAAAATCTGGTCTAAAACGTAACATTAAAAATTATTTATTTTTTAGTGTATTTTATACTGACTACAAAATGTCAACCCCGTCATAATGATAATCAGATCAAAATGAAGCTTACAGGGGTTTATCTTTAGAGAAACTTAACATATCTTACTTACCCAGAGCGTTTTCCTTTCCTTCAGTGTCATTTGCTGTTTTGGATATAGGCAGCGACAAAGCCCCCAAAAAATTTTTGTCGACAGGCATAGAGACAGGACGCACTTGCAGACTCCGGGTGGTCCTCCTCAGGACACCGTCTTGATCTCCTGCAGGCTCAGACTCAGAATCCTTGATCTCGACCATTTCCTGGAAGCCCATCTTGCTCTTCTTTCTGCCTTTGGCCGGAGCGCTGGCCGTGCGCCGCAGGATCCTATCGCCAATCGATCGCTTCCGCACATAATGGGAACTGTTTTCTGAAGAGCTGTGCCTGGGGTTCTTGTTGAACAGACCCTTCAGACCTTGGAGCTGTCTGTTCTAAAGATACAAAAGGACCAACCACAAGTCAAGCGAATGCCACTGTGGCGACAACTTGCCTTTGAAATGACAGCTCCATGAAAAAAAATGGATATACAACATGAAATTTGACAGCCACTGGAGTATAGACTCAAACCAAGAAAACAGCAGCTCACAGCATGTTTGCACAACGCCATGCACGTCTTCTCAACCTTGTTTTGTGGGGAAGGCAGCCTTCCATTTTCACAACCAAGCTTTCCCATAAGGTTCCTACCCAGAGATGACAAGGTGGTAGGAAATGTTTCCGCAGTTAATGGACTGTTAAGAACTCCAGTCGCCTTCAAGCAATAGACGGCACATTTCAAAGTGGTAAGCAGGAAAATGGAGTGACATGAGAGAGCATGCTGCCAGAACCATTGAAAAAGAAATAGGCCAGCGAGAACCAAGCACCATGCTGAAAAACTACCTTTGTAGCTCCTAGAAAGTGTAATATAGTGTAACTGGGGTTGAGTATTAAAGGGCTCCACTGCAAGGGAAAAAAACAAAACACAATTGGGGCCCATTCAAGAAGGTGGCACAAGTCAAAACAAAAGAGAAAAAAATGCATATGTTTCTGTAAACCCTGTCTTCCAGTTTTCAGTGTTTTTGCCACAGGTTCATTCATTGTTCAACTCACCACCACCACATTGGGGCTTGTGCATCCCAACCCAAACAGACCTTGAAAGGGATAAATAATATGACTTATAAGTGGACACTTATTTAGGAGAGAGAAGTCCTATGGAACACTTTCTTTTTCATATTTGAGTTTATTTCTGGCTCAAGTTTGAAACAACTTCTGAATTTTATTGTTTCCCTCAAGCATGATAAATGCTAGAGAAACGACTTAGTTTACCTGAGATTTCTAGAAATTCAAGAACCATTTTTCGATCACTCACATTTGTATGTATTTAGGCCAGAGGAAGGATCTCAACAAGCAGCACAAACAGAAACCCAGGACTATACATAGAAAGTTGTGAAATAAAACATCGCTCTTAGAAAATAGGATCCTTAGTATCTCCCCACCCCGACTGATGTGAAATAAACCCCTAATGTACCCCTAACTTAGGCTGAATTGGCCCATTCCTTAGCAATTAGCTTGCAGTCATAATAATATTAATATTAGCCAGCATTTTTGAGCGTGTACTGTGTGGGCCAGGCAGGTTTCTAAGGATAACACACATTTATTAATGAGGTAAGCACTATGTTACACCCATTTTACAGATGAGGAAGCTGAGGCACAGAAAATGTAAATGCTTCTGAAGGAGAAGCTCCAGGCTAGAATAGAATTCCTGGAAAAGAGCACTGCACATTCCTGGGCTTTATTCAAAGCTCTCACAGTCCCTCTAAATCACAGCTGGTCCTGAAAATTCATTCCAGTGGCCAAGTCCCCAGTCGCTTGGCATGACCAGAGGGCGGCCTATTGATCTGTGAACCTCCAGTGAGTTCTAGAATGAGGAGGGCAGCATCAGGTGGAACACATTCTCGTAGTCTCTTTCTTTTAAGCCCTGTGGGTGGCTTTAAATTCATTCATGAGTTTTAGGTTTTCAGTTAAATAGAATGCCATCAAATGAATGCATCCTGCTTAGCACTGGCTGGGATCACAGCTTAGTTAGTACAAGTCATTTATCAAACATCTGTGACACTACATGTCCCACTGCAGCCAGCTGGGACTTTTTAAGAATTAAAATTCAATGTTTAACTCTATCTTCACTGTTTTAGCCAAGCAAATAATCATTTTAGAGAATAGTTTTCTCATAAGCCCAGAAAGGCCCCCCGGGTGGAAGGAATGAGGACACACCCTTAAAGGGTAGAAGGAACACACGTGGATTGGGACCTGAGGGCAGGATAGCACAATGGGTTCACTGGGCTTCCCTATAGCTTTCTGATAAGGAACAGCTCATCGAGATGGGCTGGCCTTTAATGCATTCGTCAATAAATAACTTTGCTCAGGACCATATTATGGGTTGCCTGTGGCTTTAAGCCATATAATCTTTCTCACCTTTCCATAGATTTCATTGATTGTTACATGGACAAATATGGATGCTTCTGTCAGTCCTTCCAAATAGACATGCCGGTAGCCTGGTAAAAGGAGAGAAAGTAGTTTCCTTTTAGTTGAACTTGCATTTGGCTTTCCCATGGGTGCAAGTGAATTAAGTATCTGACTTGACTACAGTTCTTTACATTTCACAACGCCTGTTAACACTCACATGACCATACAACACATTTTATATATCGTGTTATATACTGTGTATATCACATATGGTATATAGTAAATCTTCCAAAGAAAGCAGAATGGTCAGTCCAGAGAGAAGAGGCCAGCCCATACCTACCAGGCACTAGGCTGCTGAAGGTCACAGTTCTCTGCCCAACAAAGTCTCGTCCAATAGGATCATGATCCCACACGAGGAACCGCACCAAAGCTATTTCTGGCATGTGTACTGTAAATGTCAGGGTTTCTTCCCACACAGGGTTAAATCCTCAGAAAAAAATAGAAAAAGAAAAATCAGAAAAGCAAAGGGCTTGGCTAGAAATGAATTGGCCACAACATCTGCCAAGCAAACGGTGAAAATTGCTGGCAATTTTATGAAACTGATACAGATGACCGAGCCATTTCAGAATGCTTTACTGAAATAAAGCCTTGGAATTTACCCTTTTGCTAGAAAATAATTGCTAAGAAAATTTCCTGTAAATGATTACATCAATGCTAATAATCTTTGATGCCAAACTGCATTGTAGAGGATGCTCTTTTAGACAATAGTCAGGATGCTTTCATGAGGTCACAAAGCATCTATAGTAGTGATCTAAGAAAGTTTTAGCAAAAACGATAATGTTCCCCACCCCATCCCCTATCAATAGAATTATGCTTCTCGCCCACTGAAGATTGTGTTGCTGTAATAATCACCAGCAACCATTTTATAAGGTGATGTGCCGATTTCAATGCTACCACGTATCATCCTACTTAATTCTTATAGCAATCCTCCAAGGGTGGCAGGGCAGGTTTTGTTTTTCTCCTTTTCTAATTAAGAAAAAAAATGTATATTACTGACTTTCAAAAATATATAAGCTTTTAAAAATTACATGATACATGCTCATTTTTTTTAAAAGTAGGAAATATAAGTATAATTCATTTTATAGTGAATTAATGTTCACTATAAAATTGATGTTCAAAGAAAATAATGAGCCTAAGATCATGTAATTAGTAACAAAGCCTAATTAGACTGGGCACTATTGATTTCCAGTGGCTTCTCACGAAGCAAGACCTTAATACATGGAAGATATTTTCATAGCTACTGAGAAGAAACAGAAAGATATAGACTTCAATTCAAATTCTAAAAGCCAAAATGTATTTATTTCTTGATAAAATTCTCTCAGATAAACAATTATTTAAACTGATAAAAATTTAAGTACTCTATAAGTTTTTCCTTTTAAAAACTGAAAATAAGTTTTATTAAATGTACGCATTCAGAGGACATCAGCATTTAACCCTGTTAAATTCCTCAGTTAATGAAATAATTACAGACTGAAAATCATCAAAATGCCCCCCCTGAACACAAGAAGAAATTATTTTTTTGTTGACTTAGTTATGACCTCTCAGTTGTTTCTGAGAAAAAAAAAATCTATTGAACACTGGTAGAAAAAGGCAATATAGGGTGTTTGCTTTCTTTAAGCATGTTATTTTCTAAGTAACAGATTTGTGCCACTCTTGGACCCCCAAATTTCTTTCCTTAAACTAGCACTTAGAAAAACTCCCCTTACAGTCTGTCTATGAATCTCTAATTTCTCAAATATTTTGAGAATTGTGGCTTAGATTTATTTTAGAGTATTAATGACTAGAGATGGAAAGAAACAGGTATGCAATAATGTTTGTCAAATGCACAAACAAACAATTCTTAGAAGATTACCAAGAAAAAGACATGAAGGCTGGGTAAAGAAAGCTTTCTTCATTCACACTATGGCCAAAATACAAGAATGTTCTAGCCAGAGCATGCTGCACTTGCCTTTAATGTTTCACATGCTCCAGGAAACATGAGAAATCACCCAGATGGCGATTCACAAACTCTCATTCACAAATGATAGTTTTGAGGCAACTCACGTACTGAAAACACAATATAGAAATATAATGGAGGTATTTTCCTAAGTGGAGTTTTAACCTAGCTCTTTAAAATATAATTCATTCTTTTTAATAGAAAAAATATTTTTGCTTCAAAAGCAAAAGTCTTGAGAGACTATGTCCATCGAGACATTCCATGCATCAGTCTCACATTTACTTAGTTTTATGTGTTGAAGAGAGCTGAACATAATCTCAGATGGCAGTTATGGACTTATGGTCTTCTATGTAGACACATTTTTCCTTTTCAGTGCAAATTCTATTTCTAAGGCATAGCAATTAAAAGTGAACACAGATCATCATTGTCTTACCATTGTCATCCACCACACGGGTTTGATCTTTACAACAATCTACGGGCAATCCAATAATTTCAACTTCAACAAAAGGATCAATGATCTATATAAATAAAGAAGGTATATTATCACAACTAATACATTTCTACACATGTGTTAATTAATACGAGAATATTGATCTAAATGTCCACATTTTAACAGCAATCCATTTTATTAGGTGCTTATTAAGAAAGAGAAACTCTACCAGGTACAACAGATTCAGATATATGAGACAGTAATAAAAGAAAAGATTAAATGTTTGTTTGTCAATATCTACTACTGCTACACAAACTACCCAATGACCTACAACTTCAGTTCAGGGTATGTACCCAACAGAAAGGAGAGTTTTGCCCACACAAATGCTCACAGCAGCTACATTCGTAATAGTCACACAATGGAAACAACCTAAATATCTATCATGAGCCGGATGGATAAATTGTGAAATATTCATTAATTAATACTATACAACAATGAAAAGGAACGAAGTTCTGGTACATAGACATAGTGTAGCGTGAGTGAGACATAAAAAAGTAAATACTGTAGGGCCGGCCGAGTGGTGCAATGGTTAAGAGCTGGCTTGGGACGCCAGAGGGCCCCAGTTCAGATCCCACATATGAGGGCCAGTGACACTGCCCTCCACAGCTAAGATGCTGAACAACAGTTCAACCTAGAGCTGGGCTGCTGTGAGTCGCCAGCGACGGCGTAGGCTGCAGCCCCTGTGGCAGTGGGTTGCCATGGGCTACCGTGTGTAGCCAGCAGCCAGCGTGAGCAGCCGCCGTGAGTGGCCGTTCAGAAGCCGGCGACTGATCTGCCTCACCCAGAAAGAGCACAATGATGGTGCCAACTTGGGCCAGTGAAGCAACGTCCTCCACAACTAGACTGAAGAACAAAAAGACAGCAACTTGTCTGTTCCCCTTCCCCCAATTCCCCAGCACTGTTCCCATCCCCAGAACTCCCCAATAAAAATCTTAAAAAAAAAAAAAAGTAAATACTGTAGAAGTCCATTTACATGAAGTCTGAGCACAGACAAAATTAATCTATTATGATGGGGGTTGGTGTTTGATGGGGGGGCAGTATTAATTGGCAGTCTAGACAGAAGCTTTCTGGGGGTTCTGTCTTTAAACTGGGTTGCATAGTAATTAAGTTATCCACATTTGATTTGTGAATTTTAATGTAGTTAAACCAATTGTGTACTATAATGTAAATTTAAAAGTATTAAAAAATAAAAAGATTATTTATATCTGGTCAAGATGTCAGAGTAGGTAAACACTGTGCTTACCTCCTCTCACAACTACATCAAAATTACATCTAAGCTACAGAACAACCGTGATTGAGAATTGCCTGAAGTCTACATGAACCGAAGCCCTACAACTAAGAACATATTGAAGAAGCTACCTTGAGACTGTTATAGGAGGGGCCAAGATGCAGAACAGGCTAGTCCCACACCTGTGAGTGATCATTAAGAGTTGGGAGGGATATCTCGGCTGCAGAGGTCCCCCCTAGAGGAGCAAGGTGTCCCAGCCCCACACCAGGTTCCTAAGCCCAAGGTTCCAGTGCTAGGGAGAGAAGACCTATAACTTCTGGCTGTGAAAATCAGTGGAGATTGTGGCTGTGTGAGCTGTTAGGTGGCAGCAGTCCTAGGCGCTCCTCTTAAAGAACCCGTGCATGGACTTACTCACTGACAGACTCAATCGCTCTGAGCTGCTGTTCTAGGGCAGCGGCTCAAAAGGCACCAGAGGCATTCGGGGAGAAACTAAATTGTCTAGCTTCAGGGCAAGGGCTGAAGGGTCAGCTTTCTCCATGAGGAGGAGTTGGCGGAAGCCATTATATCTTTGTTGAGCCCTTCCAACTCCTAGCATGCAGACACAGGTGGCCACCATACCTGAGTCTCCATCAACCTGGCTAACACCTTTTTTGGTTTGCCATGGCCTGGTGATTCTGAGACTCAGTGCACCAACCAACTTTCGGGCACACCCAAGTCACGTCCAGTGGCTTTCCCATACAATCACCCTGCCTTGGCTCATGCCACAGGCTTTCCTGAAATCTCTCAAAGGTCACAAAATCCAAACAAACAGCACCTGGCTTTAGCATGTCCTGTACCTCTGGCTGAACAGCCCTAATCCTGGCACTAGCAATAGCCAGCCTCGGTTCCCAGGTTGCTTTGTGGCTCGTGCCAGGTAGACTCTGGAGGGCATAGGCTGTGGCTAAATGTGGCCTGCAGTGGGTCCCCTCCCAGGAGACCCTCGGACCAGCACACCCAGTGGCCAGCTTCAGACTGAGCCAGAGCATCACCCTGCTGCCTCCAGGATGATACACCCAAAGGGCAGACTGGGCAGGCACCAGAGCCCTGCTAAAGCAATCCTGCTCTACAGTTTCAGACCCCGCACCACAGCTCCTTCACTGTAATCATAGCTAATCCTCACAACCAATGAGCCCAAGGGTCAATCCGTTCCATTGCAAAAAGCAACCAAGGCTCAAATACAATAGGAAGGCATGCACAGCCCACACAAGGGAAACACCTGGAGAATCTCGCTCTGGTGACCAGGGAGATTGTGCCACTGGGCCCCACAGCACACCTACTAAATAGGACCATTCTACTAAGACTGGGAGACATAGCAGCCCTACCTATACAGAGAAGAGACACAGGGAGGTAGCCAAAATAGAAAGACAAAGAAACATGTCCCAAATGAAAAAACAGAACAAAGCTCCAGAAAAAGAACTAAACAAAATAGAGATAAGCAATCTTCCAGATGCAGAATTCAAAAAACTGGTAATAAGGATGCTCAATAAGCTCAGGGCAAACTCAATAAAGAGATAGGGAACATAAAAATGGAGATAGAAAACATAGAAGGAATTAGTCAGAAATAAAGACTACAATAACTGAAATGAAGAACACATTATAGGGAATCAACAGAGTAGATGAGGCAGAGGATCGAATCAGAGATTTAGAAGATAAGGTAAGAGAAAATAATCAGAACAGCAAAAAGAATCCCCCCCCAAAAAAATGAGGAGAGTTTAAGGGGCTTCTGGGACAACATCAAGTGTACCAACATTCGCAGTATAGGGGAACCAGAAGGAGAAAAGAGACAGTAAGGAATTGAAAGCCTATTTGAAGAAATAATGACAGAAAACTTCCCTAACCTGGCAAAGGAAATGGATCTTCAAACCCAGGAAGTGCGGAGTCCCAAACAAGATGAACTCAAAAAAGCCCCCACTAAGACACATCATAAGTAAAATGCCAAAGGTCAAAGAAAAAGAAAGAATCTTAAAAGCAGCAGGAGGAAAACCTACAAGGGAGATCCCATTAGACATCTTCCGATTTCTCAACTGAAACCTGCAGGCCTGAAAGGATTGGCACAAAATATTCAATGTGATGAAAATCAAGGACCTACAACCAAGATTACTCTACCCAGCAAAGCAATCATTTAGAATTGAAGGGCAGATAAAGACCTTCCCAGATAAGAAAATGATACAGGAGTTCATCACCACCAAACCAGCATTACAAGAAATGTTAGAGGGAATTTTTTAGGATGAAAAAAAAACGTACATATATATGAATAATAAAATGGCAATAACTACATATCTATCAACAATTACTTTCAATGTAAATGGATTATATGCTCCAATGAAAAGACATAAGGGTGGTTGAATGGACAAGAAAACAAGACCCATATATATGCTGCCTATAAGAGACTCACTTCAGATCGAATACACACAGACTGAAAGTAAAGGGGTGGAAAAAGATATTTCATGAAAATCAAAATGAAAAACAAAACAAAACATAAAAAGCTGAAGTAGCAATACTTCTACAAGATAATATAGACTTTAAAGCAAAAACTATAACAAGAGACAAAGAAGGACTTAGTAATCCCACTTCTGGGTATTTATCTGAAGAAACCCAAAACACTACTTCGAAGGGATGTGTTCATCCATCTGTTCACTGCAGCATTATTTACAATAACCAAGATATGAAGGCAAACTAGGTATCCCAGAATGAATGAATGGATAAAGAAGAGGGGGTACACATATACAGTGGAATATTACTCAGCTCTAAAACAAAGAATAAAATCTTGCTATATGCAACAATATGAAGGGACTTAGAGGGTATTGTTCTTAGTTGAGTAAGTCAGACAGCGAAAGACAAATGTCATATGATTTCACTTACAAATGGAATCTAAATGAAACAAACAAACGAAACAGAAACAAAGTCATAGATACAGAGAACATTTTGATGGTTGCCAGATGGGAGGGGGGTTGAGGGAATAGGTGAAAAAGGTAAAGGGATTCAGAAATACAAATTGGCTGTTACACAGTAGCCAAGGGGATGTAGGGTATAAAGAATATAGTCAGTAATATTGTAATGACTATGAATGGTGTCAGATGGGTACAGATTAATTGGGGTGATAGATGGAGGGGAGTCGGGGGCAGGGTGGAAAAGGTAAAGGGATTAAGAAATACAAATTGGTAGTTTACAAAATTGTCATGGAGATGTAAAGTAAAGCATAGGGAATATAGTCAATAACATGGTAATGACTATGTATAGTGCCAGGTGGGTACTAGACAAGTCAGGGGGATCACTTCTTAAATTATATAAATGTCTACCCACGATTCTGCACACCTAAAGTTAATTAAAATAATACTGAATGTCAACTGTAACTGAAAAATTCAAAAAGGGAGGGAAAATGTGAACGGGAATAAGAGATTCAAATTTCCAGGTATAACACAAATAAGTCATGGGGATGTAACGTACAGCATGGGGAATATAGTCAATAATATTGTGATAGTGTGGTACTGTGTCAGATGGTTGCTGGGCTTATCACAGTGATCGCTTCTTTAGGCATATGAACACTGAATAATTATGGTGTACCCCTGAATCTAATATAATACTGTATGGTAGCTATATTTTAATAAAAGTATTTTTCAAATAAAATAAAGGATTAAAAAGTAATCAAAAGAAAAAATATGAGTGTTTAGTCTTCCTCCCACTTCCTGCACATCACCCCTCCTCTGGGGGAAGGGATCCTGCTTTACTGGCCATCTGTAAGCTCTCCTTGGTGGTGCAAGATCTGGATAATGAGCAATGAGGGATAAAACCCTAAAAACAAAAAACCCAGAAAGGAGCGAGTTATGAAGTGTCAGAAGACATATTTTTAGGACCTTGGCGAGCAAAGAGAGTATAGAGCTTTGTGGGGGACTTCAGGGAATAAGAGCTAGAGGTATGATGGAAGGGCATGCTAAGACATTCAGGTAGCAATATATACATATATATATATATATATATATATATATA